TGCAGGATCCAGTGAAGGATGATAAGATGAGCATAAGGTCAAGTCAGTTAGTCCATCGTGGTACTCTACCAACGTTCTTCTGACAGGTTTTCAGTCTACTTTATATGGCAACCCTGCCAGCATTCGAAACTGGAATCTTCTGAACTTCATCCTTTCATTCACTAATACTAACGTTCTGACATGATTTCGTGAGCAGAGCAGTGTAAAAGCTAGTAAACTTGTAATTTGGTTCTCGAAGCAATATAGTTCTTATGGATGATAATGAACCCCTCCGATCGATCCCCCGTCCAATTCAGCCCATTGCAGTCCACTGCTGGACATAAACCTCTCCCAAGGCACATCACTTGGCATGATCTTCAGCCCTTCTCATCCAGTTACTACCCGAGTCAAAACCCCCTCCGATCGATACCCCGTCCAATTCAAACGGGGATCGAAATTACGACGGCCTGAGCCGAGGTTCGAACCCCTAGTGGTGCCCTCAGACTAAAGTCGTATCCGTCAGGCAGGAGTTGGCCTTCAGCCGCTCCATAAGTCCTTCCGCGGGTTTGGAGTGCACTGCACTCGCCCCCTATCGTCCGGTGAAGCTGTAAAGGCCAGCTGCGGCCAAGAGCATTAAAGTAGTCCGAAAAAAAAAAGCCTTGCGGGGCACCAGTGGAGGATGATAAGAGGAGCATGAGGTCAGGTCAGTTAGCTCATCGTGGTAACTTAACCATGAATTTATAACTATTTCCAGGGATAACCATGTGGAGGTCAACCTGACATGGTACATTAGTGTTATTAGCCCACATTACTAACCATGCCCTTCCACTCCAAAGCAATATAGTTAAGAATGTTTAAACGAATGAGTCATCGAGTACTAGCAACGTCCAGGTGACTCGAAACCACACATCCAGTTCAGCATAATCTTATGTAAATCCTAACCTTTCCGGATAGTTCGATTTTGAACGCAATCTTCTAAGGAATAAGGTTTGTAATCGTGGTATTGCGGTATGTTTCCGTATAAGCCAAATAGATTCTAAACAGACGAACAAAAAGGTACAAGCCTGGTGAATAAGGGCAGGAATATAAATCAGGCTGTCTCAAGGGATACCTCGACTATCGATTACAGTAAAATCGATTCAATCACACACTCATAGAGGCGTACACAGATTAAAACCTTATAAATTAACGTAACTATACTTATAGACTTTATTATTTAGAGTGTAGAGTGTATTATGTAATAATACTGTATACATAACATTTCTTCACTACTCGGTACGTTTTGTACGATTTACTTACGATGTTCCCGGGTTCGATTCCTCGCACGGCACTAACATTTGTATTGATGAGTATGATTGTTTGTATCGGTCTGGGTGTTGTCTGTGTATATTGTTTGCTGGAGGAATATTGCAATGTTTAATTTGTCTTAATTAAAATAAAAAAAAATATTTAGTATATATTGTACGTTGATTTTAATAGTGACGCCACGGAATGTTCGAGAAGGAGTGCAAAATTGTATATAAAATAACATCGATGTTCTCTGCCTGACGTTCGAAATTTGAATTTTTAAAATTTTATTTTTAAATAAAGTAAAGGGCTATTTGCAATTGCTATATTATATATGTATTTAAAAAATCTATTATATATTATATTTATATTAATTGTCCATTACCCATAAGCCCATAACACAAGCTCTAGCTTAGCCCTAGTGAGATTGAGACTAGAAGGCGATTTTTTTTAATTGTCTAAGGTTTTATTAAAAAGAATATCAAATCAATTATCATTGTAGGACATTGTAGCCGCTTATGAACGTCAGATTTTTTTATATTAATATTTTTTCCCTACCCTCCAGTTCAGTATACAGATCCAATTGAGAAGAACTGGCAAGAAACTAAACTTAATTTCTTTTTTTTAAAAGCCAATTTATTTAAATTGTATACTTATGTAGGAGTCTATGTCTAACATTAATTAAAAATTCTGAGCATGGACAAGTATTGCCTAATAATGAACTATTAATAAAAATCTAAATAAAAAATTGTTCTCAATTGAAGAAGCTGGTCGAAATGGATTATAGAAAGGAATAGTGTCTAAATTAAATGCACTAGATAAAGTGGTGTTGTATTATTTACGAGTGAAAGTTTCGTCAAAATTGATCCGGCCGTTATAGAGATTAGCAAGAACGAACAGACTGAAAAAAATCTTTATTTGTCTGGATTGTGGGAAGGAATAACGTCTAAATTACACGTACTAGAACGAGTGATATTATATTATTTGCGAGTGAAAGTCCCGTGAAAATCAGCCCATCCGTTTCAGAGATTAGCAAGTACAGACTGAAAAAAAATATTTTCTTTCTTTAACGAAGTTCTTTGAAGTTACCAACGGACACTTTTTTTTTATTTGTGTAGATTATTAGATTATTAGTTATTAGATTATTAGTATTCTGTGACATCAGCCCGCTTCCACTGAGGCGTAGGCATGAATTAAAGATGCGATTTGAATGTTCACAGCGCTGAAGGGTTATAAACTTGTTTTATGGGCAAACCTCTGCAAGGGGTCACATTTGTGCTTTAACCCTTTTATGTGCTGTACGAGGAAGGTGCGCTGCACGCGATGTCGATGAATCACTATGCAATGCATTTAGCGACAGTAAAAAAAACAGTCTATGCAATTATGTATACTAGTGGTCGCTCAATATAATAATAATAATAATCTCAGGACAGGTCACATAGCGCCATCTAGTTCCAAGTTAAGCTAGCTAAAGTTTGTCCGGTGTTCGCGGGTGAGCGCCGTGTCCTTACACGAATAGTGGAGGACGATCTCTCGCTGCCTAATTTAGTTCGCAGGATGGTAAGTTGCGTGGCTGGCGGTGAGCTCCTTCTGCGAGGAAGTTATCTCGCGGAAGGAGGCGGCGGAAAGGGAACGGGAGTGGGCTCGTCCCGCTTTCCTCCGCAGCAGATGAGCCAGACCTAGAGGTGGGGGCGTACCCAACTCCGCCCCCCTCTATCCCTCACTGGGGCCGGGGTGACTGCCTTGAGGGAGGCAGTCCCCCAATCTAAAGGCCCTGGAGGTGTGCGCGTGTACCCACACCTCCACAACGGAGTAGGGCGAAATAGGTCGCCCTAACCGTAAACGAGATGGGGCCTGCCCTACAACATCTACAGGGCGGGCCGTCGCCGTCGGAGCTGGGGTGGAAATGCACATGCGAATCCCCTGGCTCCGACATAGGCGCTCGTAGGTACACCGTGTGGTTTTTGGTGAGTACAAGTCTCACACACCGCCCCGCCCTGCCTCCGGCGGGGTGACGGTCCTTTGAAGATTTTCCACACGTTAAAAAAAAGCTAAAGCTTGTGTTATGGGTACTAGATGTTTTTTTGTGTGACTTTAACCGTTTACGCAGGCCACGCAGCGGAAGCACTCAAAATGAATATTTCTTGCCACATTTTTTATTGCTGCTCCGCTTCTATTGGTCGTACCGTGATGTTATATACTCTATAGCACTCGGGAATAATATACTTTTCTAGCAGTAAAATAATTTTTAAAATCGGATCAGTGAAGCGGAGATTACACCGAACAAACAAACTTTACCTCTATATAATAATATCAGTATTGATATTACAGAATAGAAGTTAATTTTATTTTATTAATGACTAGCTGTTCCCGCGACTTCATCGGCGGCTAATTATGAGGATAATTATTATTTTTGCTCATAGGTACTCCATTCCATAAAAATTGTTATCCCTTAACACGAACAAATAGTTCTGTCATAGTAGAGCTATAGTATTCATATGTAAATACACTTTAAAGTATAACAACTAACTTTTAACTCTTGTATAATGTAGTATTTATAAGTAAACCTATTAGACAGCTGATTGCAGACCTAACAATGAGTGACAGTGACAGAAATAGGTAGCGTAGCATGCAGAAACGAGAAGGAAGATGTGTAATGCTAACGCGCTGATAGCACGCGCGCCAACGTGTATCGCGGGCGACTTGTGGCGTCACGCAGTGTTACCAGTATAATAATTTTACCCTTAATTTTGGTATTTAAAATGTAATGTTAGGATATAGGTGGTAAATAAAATGTTAGTCTGGCAATCAATTACATGCAACACTGGTATCAAAATTGTCAGCACCAAAGTGACATTCGTTAAATAGTGTGATCCATTTTTAACTGGTAGATAAGTAATTTATGAAATGATAAAATTAACTATACATATAAATACAATTGAAGTGTGTCTGTTTGTAATTACAAATTAAAAGCTTTTCACTAATGCATACGAAACTATATATATTTGGTCTTACTAATTAATCTCTGAAATGGCTATACCGAATGATTTTCATCGCATTAAAAAAAATATTAAACTCTACACGGAAAAAAATTGCCAGTAACAGCTAGTTGAAAATAAAATATTACTACAATTTTTTCGTTTTAAGCTTTTACTTCGAAGATAACAATATAAAAACAACAAATTTTATATTGAAACATATATTTTTTATCGAATTAGGTAAAATAATGTATATATATATACAGTAAACAGTCGAGTCCTAGGAACTCAATATCATCTTTGATGTTTAGTTTAAATCACAGTGAATACGATCATGTTCAGAACGGTAAGTTATTTATTAATTCTCATCATCATCATCTATTACTAATATCACTGCTAGACCAATGTCTTCCACCTTAATTTTGTAGTGAAGAGTACCCGAGACCATAAGTCTTTATCCTTTTTTCTTCCTTTCATCATATCCGTTGGAAGATCTCGGGAGAGTTACACTGCGTAGGAATCACCTATAACTAATACCACTAGACCAATGTCTTCCACCTTAATTTTGTAGTGAGGAGTAACCGCGACCACAAGTCTTTATGCCTTTCGTTTCCGTTGGAAGATCTCAGGAGTTTCGCTGCGTAGGAAATTTGATCAAAAGTAAATCTTACTAAAGGAATGTTTAAGAACTCTTATCTTTAAAATATTCATAAAATCTTTAAAAAGTAATGAGAAACAAACTGTTATAGTAAATAAGGTGATAGTGATGATCTTTGTAGTGTTTCCTCTCAAATTCTCATTTAAGTTCTGTCGATCGTTTTAATCTAAAATTAACACAGTCTCATCAATATCTATTTCTTCTTTAGGCTGGATCATCGTGGAAGAACCGGGCCTAAGATGCTGATATTCATATGACGATGTAGAAGACATTGGACTATTACATGCTATGGTCTGCTCAAATGTCAAAGCTTCCTCTTCTGCCCGAGAAACAGATTCGAAAATTTCTCTCTGTACTCTTAATTGTAAATATTTGGGAAGCTCTTTAGTTTTCCGACATAGACTAGAAAATAATTCAGTTATCGCATCATTATCGAAACGGTTCGCCTCCACCGCTTCTTGTCTCGTTTGTTGCCTTTCCTTCCGTCTGAGTTCACGTCTTTTAACTCTTTCTATTTGTATCGTATTCTCAATGTTCTCAGTGTTGAATCGTGTCAGTAGTTTCTCAGTATTTAGGTTCTCCAATGTCGGTAGAGCGGGTATTACCCGATTACACGTAACTATAGGTTCTGTATCAAGGTTTATTTCAAATTCTGGTGTAAAATTTTTGTTTGAATGTTGTTTCTCCTTTCTCTCCGGCAATGGTAGCAAGAACTCCATTAAATGTTCATATTTCCACCGACCATGAACAGGGAGTCCTCTTTCAATTGTAATTTTTCTACGTCGCAATGCTTCTCTGTAGCAGTCACGCAACCTTTTCCATTGTAATTTCGCTTCACTGGCTGAAAATGTAAATTATATCAACCGTTGAGAATGAAAGAATATGCAGTACTCATGATTTTATTTTAGTAAAAGAAATAAGCACCAATTGTGGTAAAAAATGTAATAAAGGGCCTTTCATATATTTTTCACAATCAGGACAAAGTGTGACAAGTGATGGGAGGAGTGGAACTTGTATGGTAAACTGTGACAAGGGCAGAATTTATAAATGGACCCTAAAAAGAAAGTTCAAAAACTAAAACATAATTATTGAAAAATAACACTTTAGATAGTACGGCTAAGATAATTTGCTGACTAGTAAAGTGATGTAGTTATTAGTTTTAGGGCACAATGAGAGTGGCATGTGCCAGTTTATACAAATGTCCCTAAATTAAAAAATATATATATAAATATCACTCCATACCAGGTTTAGTAATTTTTAGTGAATGATTTTTCAGTAGTCGAATATTCATTTTTAAACTTTCTTTTATTTATTCATTTTAGGATTATAATTTGTATTTTGTGGAAATTTGAAAATACATACAATATTTGATTCACATGCAAGCAAAGCTAAGAGCAATATCTCCTAATATTGTCAAATATTCTATAAGCCCATTCATAGGATGGCACGGCAATATTAATAAATTGTTTTATATTCTATGACAGAATAAGGCGCCATAAACAAATTTTAAGGTGACATATATTAGATGACCATAAACACGCTTCTAAGAATACCTCATTTGCCAAATTATGATGAGTACTTTAGAAGTTATGGCAAAACAGATGAACTAACTTATAACCCTTTTTGCTTTGCCGTGGTCGGGTAAAAATACCATGGAATCAGGAAGCACATAAAAGCAAACAAAGTTACGACAAGCACAGCCAGTATTATGGAATCTATATAAATAAGTACAGAGGTAAGGTAAGGTTCTAAGGTACATATATACTTACCACCAGGAAGGCCAGTTGCCTTGGCGACTTTCTGCCAATACCCATTTTTCTGGCTAAAATCTTTGAAAGTCGCGTCGTTAACGTCCCACAAGTTTGGGTATTTCTTTACAGTTTCAATAAATACATCCATTTCACGATTATTTTACTTTAAGATACGAAAATAACAAGTATATACCTCCAATGTTCGATACACACTGACGGGAAATGAAACAGCTACGGTGAGGGGCAGGGGAGGTGCGGGGCGGTGTGGGGCGAGGTTACACGTGTACGCCAGGTGGACCTTGCACGTAAGCAACCTTGGTAGCCGTGTGGCGCGTGACGTCACCGTCACAGATTAAAAGGCCAGACGGTACTTGTCTTATTAACAAATGCATACCTAAACGCGTTGGAGACTATTGTAAATTTTATTGAATGAAACGTTGAGTTCATTTAAATTGCAAATTTTATGACTCTATTCTTTTGCTTTCATTATATACTTTGCAGTATGTATGGATTATTTTCACGCTTTTTTTCCGCGATACATCTATTATGGAGCTGTATAATTTCCATAATATTTACAAGTGGTTTCCGTCGGCTTTGCCCAGGTGCTCAAAGTTTTATGAGTTATGTGTGTGTATATATATGCTTTTATTTTTAATGTCACATTATAAAGAAATAAAAATAGAAAAGTGTTCAAAAAATAAAAAAAATTTTAGAGGTGCACAACCCTTATCACTTGAGGGTATGATAGATAAAATAGATAGTAGCCGATTCTCAGAACTACTAAAAAGGAAATAAAATTTCATGAAAACGATGAAGGCGTTTCGGACGAGTCTGATAACTTATATTAATCTGTGTAGAGTTTATTTTACTTATCTACAATTTATAACATCTTTTTAAATTCTTGACCTATCTATGTATATGCATGTATGTATCTCCGTATAATAAACACGTACTTTTCATGTACAATAATTAAATAAAGCTGTCTTGTACACGCATTCCTTTGCCTCACACTGTCAAAAAAGTATTCATAATATTTTTAAAAAGTAATGACTAACGTTTAAAAACGCGGGAACTATCGAATGTCGATGTTATCAAGATCGATGTATTTACTGTGGAACATCATTTTGGGGTTTCAAATTTCGAACGCACTCTGTACCAAACGAACATGTATCTTTGAATTATAATATTCAATTGATTGCAACGCATCCATTGCTGTTTCGATCTGTATATAAAGTTTATTCTTCTCACTTTACAGTCAATGGATTGTGAAAATTACGGTATTAGATTGATTCAAATATAAGGTGGTAGGGAATGTGTTTTTTGTTTTTGAAACAACATTTGCCAGAGGAATATGTCTATATATCACACGATACGTATCTGATGGCCATTGAAGTTCAATAATTAATATTTTTATTGTTATTCATTGGGATACTGGTTGACATTTAAATCAATTATCGCTAAACCGGATATATGGTCATAATAATAATACTTTATGACTGTTAACCCAGATACGTTTTTTTTTATGGATGATAATGTAATCGTGCAATCACTTTGCACTAACAGTTTACGCTAGCGGGGCTCCAGTGGAGGATGATAAGATGAGTATCAGTCAGCTCAGTTAGCCCATCGTGACAAATTCATCAACAATTTATCACGATGGTTTCCAGGAGGAACCGCGTGGAGGTCAACCTGACATGGTACAACAAACAATCATACTCATGGAAACAAAAGTTTATACCATGCGAGGAATCGAACCCGCGACCATCGGAAGTAAAGCACACCTAAACCGCTCAAGTACAAAAATAGGAAATTACATAGTGCATTGAAACTATGCACAAAACAAATTTAATACCTATGCACATACATTTTCCACACCTTCCCATATAATTGCAACATATTATTGCACATAAACCAATCTAATTCCGACCCTATTCCCATAACTTGTAGAATTAACTTTGCAAATTCTTGCATACCAGTCTAAAATTAGAAAAAGTTATTTTGAACCTTAAGTCGAAGGTAGTAAAGTATAATTTTACTTTGTTCAAAATGTATTAATATTAAAATACTAGCTAGTATGGTAATATCCGCTCGGTCGCGTCGCTGACAGAATTAGTTCCTGATCAATTGATTTAATGAACAGCCGTGGACATTATATTAGATAGATAGATAGAGATAGATATAGATAGATAGATAGAAATCTATAGTGCATGTAGCACTTCAAAACTGTTATAATATTTGTATTCATGAGTATGACTGTTTGTATCGATGTGGGTGTTTTCTATTTATAATATGTATGTATTTACGAAAAAAATATCTATGTATTTGTATGAGTTATCTAGTACCAATAACACAAGCTTTAGCTAGCTTAACTTGGGTCTAGATGGCGCTGTGTGAATTGTCCTGAGATTATTATTATTATTATATATTTGCTCTAAAGTTCCATTCAATCACTATAATATTATGTTTTTTTAATTTAGTTTTTACAATTTGGCGCCAAAATATTTTTTACTTATTATACACACTAAGGAACACCCTATACAGCTATTATATTATATTGGTATTATATACTCTTATTATTTTTATTTATCAATATATAAATCGTAGGATATTTAACATTAATAATCTGAGGACAATTCACACAGCGCTATCTAGACCCAACTTAAGCAATCTAAAGCTTATCTTCTGGGTAGACTAATACAAATACATAGATATTTTTTTCGTAAATATATACACATTATACATAGATAACACCCAGACCAATACAAACAATCATACTCATGAACACATGGTTGTGCCGTGCGAGGAATCTAACCCGCGACCATCAGAAGTAAGGCGCTAAACCGCTAGACCACCGAGATCGGCAATCTGTTATTATTTTCACAACTCTCTAATTTATAAACGTTTCTGAACGTTTGAACCATTACTTTCCTCTCAACGAAGGCCCATTGAAACTTAACTATTTAACTGTTAAACTTTAACTATTAATCTAGAAATTCTGAGAAGCATCGGTCACGGGCAGCCATTTCGCGTTATCGCGCCATTTTTGCTGCAACAAGATGGCGCCCATCGGTGAAACAATGCGGCTATTGCACACGTGCGTTGTTAAATGTACATTTCCTGGAGCGTGTGTTTTCAAATAATAATCAGCCAGCCGTGTATCGATGCAGAGATTTGCAAATAAAATTAAGTTCAACGCCTCCTGTTGCAATAACGTGTGGGATAAAATTAGATCGCGAAATTTTCATAATTTATTACCACTTACCATTGTAGGTATACCTACCACGTATGCACAATATGTACCTACCAATAAGGTGCCTAATTATAATGAAATCTACATGATGTTTACCTATACATCTATACATATAAATAAAATTGGAGCGTCTGTTTGTAATACTGTAATAACCGTTTTTTACTACATGTTTATGAATATAAATACAGTATACACACCAAAACAACATTTTTTACAAAGACACTTTTTGAAATAAAGACATCATTTATTTCATTACTAGCTACCCACCCCGGCTTCGCACGGCTGTACATGCATTATATATATAAACCTTCCTCTTGAATCACTCTATCTATTAAAAAAACCGCTGCAAAATCCGTTGCGTAGTTTTAAAGATTTAATACATAGGGACGGACAGACAGCGACCGAGACTTTGTTTTATACTATATAATGATGATAATGTACTTAGATTATTGCTTAATGTTATCAAATATTCAACATAAATAATTACAATAATCACTTTATTCATTTATTCACAACAAAGACCATTGAAAAATGAAAAACCGCTCTCTTTATCAGCAGCGACCTGACCCATTAAATCGCATTTATAAATAGCGACCTGCTAAATCCGTATAAATACTAATAAAAATAATATCAATCGTAAATTATATTTAAGGATATAATTTCGCAAAAGGAAAATAGAAGTCCCAAGTGCGAGCCCTGTAGAACGCCACGAGTTGAGACACCCAAATAAATATAAATGCGTTTTGTTGGATTGTGAGAATTGATATTTATGGTCGAAAAAACGACATCCCGCTGCGGGACAGCTGCTCGGGGCCCGGAAAAAATGGGAGGTCCTTAAAATAATGTCCTTTAACATCAAACGCTGGAGTCAAATTGGTAAATGCAAGGTTAGGAGATCCGAGATATGCGGTCGTTTCTATTGAGTTCTCTGTTAATAATATATTAAGTTTAATAAAGAAGTTATTTTTAGTTATAGTTATTCGACGGCCTCGGTGGTCTAGCGGTTTAGCACACTTTACTTACGATGGTCGCGGGTTCGATTTCTTGCACTGTACAAACGTTTGTATATTGTTTGTATCGATCTGGCTGTTTTCTATGTATATTATGTATGTATTTACGAAAAAAAATTAAGTATTTATATCAGTTGTCTAGTACCCATAACACAAGCTCTGCTTACCGTGGGACTAGATGGCACTGTGTTAATTGTCCAGAGTTATTTATTATAATTTATTACTTTATTTATATGAGTATTCTTTTGTTGCATTATCTATTACCTTCCTAAGAAAAATTATAAATATGAAAGTGAGTTTGGACATTTGTTACGTTAACAAATTTTTAAAATCTATACATATAAATGAAATTGGAGTGTCTGTTTGTAATATTAAAATAACCGTTTTTCACTACATGCATATGGATATAAACACACCAAAAAACATTTTTTACAATTTTATTCTATCTGTTTGTTTGTTCCGGCTAATCCCTGAAATGGCTGGATCGATTTTGACGGAACTTTTATTGGCAGGTAGCTAATTTAATAAATAGTAACTTGGGCTAATTTTATTTTAGAAAAATAAAGTTAAATTCCACACTGACGAAGTCGCGGGTACGGCTAGCAATATATTACAATTGTCTTGTCAACGAGGTTAGTTGAATATAAGATTGAAATGTACCTAAATGAAATTTCCTAAATTCATGTAGATTTTTTGTATTAAATCAATATTTTTGTTCACAGATCAAATCCACGAAGTTTGCATCATACGACAAATTTATTGTAAGTACTTAACTACTACAACAGTACTATTGCCAAATTATTTTATACATTTTTTATTGTCTATGTTTTTTATAATACTATATTGTTTTACATATATAACATAAGTCAGTACGATCATCATCATAATCATCAGCCCATTGCAGTCCACTGCTGGACATTGGCCTCTCCCAAGGCACGT